GCAGGATATATTATAGTAACTTTTTTGTTTTCCTGATTTAAAACCCTGCATTGCTCTCTCCATCTTGTTCTGACTGATTTTACTAAGTGTGTAGGATAGAAAACCATATTACTGAGTTTTTGTTGGATTACTGAACAGAACTGTCTGCAATCTCACTGTATGAATGTCCACTTTGTATGCTTTAATTTTCTAATTTGGACGACTGTTTTTAAGATGACAATATGTAATCTATTAACTAGTGATTTCTTACTGTATATTTTTTTCTTGAAATTCTGTATTACTTGTACCCTTTTCCTGCTTTGTTTTTTTTTCTCTTTAAATTAAAAAAAAAAAAAACAGGATGACCTTGAGGGCTTCATAGGTAAATGGAGACAACTTGAGACTATCCTTATTAATGAAATAATCATATTTATACATATCACATTGTGTCTCTAGTGTAAAAAGTAATCAGAAATGTAGGAGTAATAAAACTCAAAATGTGTAATTGCTATTGTAAAAGTGAGGAAAAGAAAGTGATCTAAAAGATATAACTGAATGTATGTTTACGTGTGTAGGACTGATAACCATATTACTAGGTGTTTGTTGGATCATTGAATAGAACTGTTTGTGGTCTTGCTGTTTGTCCAGTTTGTATGCTTTAATTTTGTAACTTGAGCAACTATTTCTAAGAGGACAGTATGTAATTTATCAACCAGTGATATCTTACTGTTTATTTTTCTGAAATTATGTATTATTTCTACGCTTTTTTCTCTTTTGTTTTTTTCTCTTTAAATAAAATTTTAAAAACTAAAAAAGCAAAAAAAAATTATTTTTAACCGAGTTGTTCGAGCCATTACAGCTTTTGGGGGGCAACCTCAGTTCCTTGTCGTGAGGTAACTGTTCCTTCTCGGGGAATGAGCTACTTACAGGATGGTATGCAATATTCTGCTTTTCTTGGAATCTAAAGTGGCAGGTATAGAACAAGGACTCCAGACTTCTAAACATTACTCCAAAGTATTTGGAACTACATGCTGTACAAGCTGGCAATTGGGTATCCTTTGTGAACCCTAAAAATTAGTTTATTTTCCTCTTGGTGTCCACAGTTTTGAAGGGAGCTGGGACAGGCGAGTTATATTTAGAGATAATAACCCTTGTTTTTATGCAGAGCCCAATACACATAGCTGTAAGATAATAAAGGAGGTATAAAATGAAGGCAGAGATAACAAGCTTTGTCGGTGCTTTTGTAACCTTTTGGGCATCTGCAGGCCCAACTTCTAGGTACCTATTATAGGACCCAAACATAGATACTCTTATTATTAATTTTGCAAAATAAAATTTCACTAAATCAAGACCTATACATTTTGGGTTCAGAGTGGATGGAGACACTGGACCCTTACGAATGAAATGGTTTCTGCATCTCCAGGGGTCAAGGGTCATTCAGCCTCAAATCATCAGCCCCTCCAACAGAAGACTCAGGAAATAATTCTGTAACTATGGCTTTTTTGGGTCCAGAGATGAAATCAAATGGGTAAGGACTGTGGTTTTATGACAATGAATTGTATAAAGTATGCCTCATAACTTTAACAATAGCATGACATAACTGTATACAAGTCAGAGATGAAGGAATGAATTGCTGAGCCAGATTCACAGAACTTGGGTTGAAGTCCTGGCATTCCAGAAATGTCTGCATGTCCCCTGGCACTGGAAGGTAAAATAGATCTTTAAAACTTGTGGTTTTGATAGAGATAAATTGCTTTCCAGCTTCCTCATGCTGAGAGTGTAAAACCACTATTCCCCAGCCCTATGTACAAGGCCAATCTAAATCTATCTTGTGTACAATCTTGTTCTGTTTTAACTCTACCCTCTGGTAAACGGGAGAGCCTCTGTGTTTAGGGAGCAAGTTAGTTCCTCCTCACCCCTTTTTGGCCAACTTGTAATTCTGATACTCTTAGTTTTGCCGTGGCCAAGGAATCTGAGAGCCAGCCCTGGTCTAGGTTGACAGCCATAACTCAGCCTTTCTCTCCTTCAGCCTTCTCTTTCCTAGGGGCACCAGGTCTGAGAGTTGCTGGCCTTGATCTGCAGTTTTATCCTAACCCACTGTGCACCTCCATAAAAGGACGGTCAGTGCTGTTGTTTAAAGTCTTCTAGAATTTGGCTTTTCTTTATAAGCTTGGTCTTCACACATGGTTTGTAAGTCTGCTTTGCTGGAATCGGGCTTTGACAGCACTGGAGAATGGGTACGTACCTCAGAGGAAGCCCCCTGCTATCTTTGTCTGGGAAGGGGGATCTATGCTATGCCTCCAAGTGTTTCGACTTGAGTTTCTGTTTCTACTTGCAGTATTTTGAATGGGTTGCACGAGGACTTTGGCTCTGTTTCATAACTTACTTTATGGATTTTGACTCTTATTGGTGTTTGTGCTTGTAGTGTGTTTATTTTGACGGTACCCTGGCCCTACATTCACTGTGTGCTTCTGCAGGTCCCCAACCTTTATTAGTCCCAGTCCCACCTCTTTGACCTTGATTGAAAAGGTACATACCCCTGCAAGACATCTTAACTACTTGTGTGAAGAATGAATTCCTAGAATTAGGATTTAGTTGTTCTGTGGTTTTATTAGCTTGAGCCTAGGCATTCAGTTCAGAGGTCCTGGGAAGAGGAGCCAGAGGCTCTGTGGGGAGGATTGTGGTTGCTGCCACTGTCCTGGCTCCCAGGAGGTAGCCACACTTACATTTGGTCAGGACTATCTGCTCTAGTTCATAGGGGGGTGTCCCTTCCCTGTCCTGGGCCAAGTTATGACTAGTCCAATGACTGCCAGATGCCAGAGTCCCTTCTTGTTTTAAAAGTTTTGCTGCTGGTCACTTCTGGAAAACCCAAAAGTACACCTGATTTCAAAACAGCAAGAGAGTTATGATGCTTCGAACGTTTTTACAGAAACCTGAAGTTCTGGATCCTTTTAAAAATGACATAAAAACATAAGGAATATAGAACCATATAACGTAAAATGTTTCTCTGTATATAATTTGCTGGGAGGAAAGGAGACACATTAAACTCTGACTGATACTAAAATGGTTTTCCAACTTTGTGTCATGCCCACGGGTGCCAACAGTACAAGATTTGTGCCCCCTTGTCTTTGTTTTCCATGAGGAAGAGTGACCTCTAATGCTGACCTGTATTTTCTCTTTAGGGTGGAGTTGTTATCATTCTGCATGTATTGCTTGGATTCCTTCAGATACAGATGGGAAGTGACAGTCCTTTTGTCCTTCTGAATGAGTAGGGCTTTTGATTTGGTGACTCTGACCCAGTCAACCCAACATGAAAATGTCCTAGGGCAATAAGAGCCTCTTCTCCTGGGGAAGGCTGGACTCAACCAGGTTGCAGGTGGGACAAAGGGCAGCCTGTCCCAGCTGGAAAAGTAGCAGTGACATCCTGCCAGCTTTGTCCATGAATAGAAAGCTGAGAAGCAGGCCACGGGCCTGGCCAGCCACTGTCACACACAGGTCCTCCAGACCTTGCTGCCCATTTCCTGTCCCCGGGGTCCCTCGCTGGACACCCGCTGCTCTTCCAGTTCCCTGGCTGGATACAGGTGGCCCTTGCATGTCTTCAGTCATCAGCACCCTGGTGGACACCATCAGGCCTCTCTATCCTTTCTATCCCAGGTCCTCTGGCAGGACAGAGGTGGCCCTTTTCCTTGTTTGTGTAGACACCCCCATCCATCTACCCAGGTCCAATGACTGCCTCAGAGCAGCAATTCATCACTGTCCTGCAGGCTCGCTGTCCTTGCTCCAGGACTTTTCACCTGCTGGCCCCTGTCTGCCAACTTGCAGTTATCCTGTCTCTCTCCTCCTCAGGCCTTGCTGGCCCTGTTTAGACTCCTCCTCCCTGTCTCTGACCTGACCTGCTCCTCCTCACTCCTCTAGGCCCAGCCCCTCACTCCTCTAGGGCCCCATAGGACCACACCCCTTGTCATGGTTTATGTCTGTGCTCCCCCAGGCCTCATGAGTTTGAATTGTGCATTTGTTATTCATTCATTGTATAGTGCTTAGATTGATGGTGTCAGTGCTACACCCACTTAGGGGTGGAGCCAGGATGTGATGTAATGGCAGGAAGAAGCTGTGTCTTGCTCTTTGCTGGTTGGAGCTTGCTGTTTGTAGCCCATGAAAGGCAGCCCAGCCATGCCCGCCTGCCTGGGAGCCAACTGAGCATGGCCTGAAACCTCCCAAAACTGTAAGAAATAAACCTTTCCTTTCCCAACTTGGGCATCAGGTATTTTGTCTCAGCTAGGAGCATAAAGTAACTAAGACACCCCTCATCCGGTGAGCTGCAGACAGACATGTGCACTGTGGCTCAGCTGCCCTGGCGGTGGAGACTCAAGTACAGGCCACATCCACCAGCGAGGACATCTGGGTACAGGGTTGGCTGGAGACTCCCTGGGTTTGAGGAGACATCGGGTTTACAATTCCTAGGGCTGACAATGGGTCTGGTGTTGAGGCATTTAAGGAACTCAGGGAGTTAAGGGTCCTGGGACTGAGGGGGTCCCAGGATGTCTCAGGCAGGGTCGAGGGGGCCGATGTTAGGGGGTCCCAAGATTGAGTGGTCCCAGGGTTGGGGTGACTACCTTTGAGATGTCTGGGGGTTGATTCAAGTGGCCTGGGTTGTGAGGGTTCTCGGGGTCCCAGGGTCCCCGGGATCCCAAGATCAAGAGGCTAGGCATGAGGGGTTCTCTAGGTTGAAGGGTTCCAGGGCTGAAAATGTTTCTAGGGTTCCCAGGTTGTGGGAGTCCTGGCGTTGAGGGATTCCAGGGGTTCAGAGTGTCTCAGGGCCTCAAGGGCTCAGGTTCCCAGGGCTGAGGGGTCCCGGGGTTGAGGGGGCACCTAGTTGTGGGGACCTAATGTTGAGGGTGCTCCGGAAGGTGTGGGGCTCCTTTGAGCTGCCCAGGCTCTGTGGTGGCTGGGGGGGGGGGGGCGGACCTCCTGAGAGGGGGCGCCCAGAGTGGGTTGGGGCGACTGGGCAGGAGGGGCGGGGCGGGGCGGGGCGGGGCCTGTGGGAGGCCGGGCCGGCCGGGCCTTGTCCAGTCCCGAAGGGCGGACGGCTCGCCCCGCCCGCCCTGGTTCAAGTGCAGCCGCAGGCCGAGCCGCAAGCCGCGTCCCGCAGTAGGAAGGCGCGCACGGAGCATGTGGAAGCTGAGCCGGGGCCGGGTGCTGCTGGACGAGCCCCCCGAGGAGGAGGACGGGCCGCAGGGGGCGGCGCAGCCAGGGACCGCGGACGCCCCGGCGCCGGTGAGGGCGCAGGTGGGGATGACCCGGGGCGGCGTGGGGCGCGCGGTGGGCGCGGGCGCGGGGCGGCGCCTGCCCCCCGGAGCGCGGAGCTGCGGAGCTCTGCCCGGCTGGCCGCCGCCTGGGTGTCGCCGGCAGAGTCCGCAGCGGGCCGAGGCCGGGTCCGCAGCCGGCCGAGGCCGGGTCCGCAGCCGTGCGCCGCCCGGGCCCCTGCCTCCCTCCCTCCCTCCCTCCGCGGCGACCGGGTCGGGACGCAGAAGCCCTGAATCATGCTGCTTGCGGCCCTTCCCGAAGCTGGGCGACCGCCTCAGAGGGTGTCCTGGGTCCGAGTCTGTTTGCATAACACGTATTTCCTTTCTGTATACCTCTGATTTTCTGGAGGAGGACGGCAGAGTGCTTGATACCGAAAAATGAAAGGCGCTGGGTGACAAGTGCAGAGATATGTTTGGAATGTCTAGAATTTTTTAATTAAATGGGATCCCAAATGGATCCTGCACGTAGCTCTCCCTCACCCGTCTCCAATGCACTGTTTTTCTGTGTAGTGAAATTTAGGTCAATAACCTAGCACTTTTTGGTTCTGTTTTTAAAATGAAAGTCATAAAATTTATTTTTGTGTTAAATTTTGAGAATAAGCTATGTTTCTTCAGAGGACTTGCATATAGTTTCTGAAATGGTTTCTTCCCCAGTTGGGGTGAAGCACCTTCTCTTGGGAATGAGGTTGTTTCATCCTTTTTGCTCACACTTCTCTGTTGGTCAGTGTTGGTGGCAGATTCATACATGAACTTGACGTGTTCTGATCATTGTCGTCTTCTGGTCTCATCTCTTAGTTTCATAGTGAATGTGTATAATATATTTTAATCATATTCACCTCCTTATTACCTGCTTAAGATTCTTACAGGAGTTCAGTGCTGTTCCCAACTCTCAGAAACTGGAGTCCATTATCCTAAAGCGTTGAAATATAGTTACTGTCTGAATTTGTCTTTGAGAAAGTCTGCTTTTTTTGTTTGTTTGTTTGTTTGTTTGCCTGATACAGGCAAACTCGGGCCTTGTGCATACTAGGACAGTGCCCTATTACTGAGCTACACGCCCACCCCCTTTTATTTTATTTTGAGACCAGGTCTCACTAAAGTACCTCAGTAAGGGTCCTCCTGCTTCGTTCAGTCTCCCAAATCCTGGGATTATACCACTACACCCAGCGAGAAATTGTTGATGTTGTTATTACTATGTACCTTTTATTTTTTAACTCTGAAAAAGTTTGTGCTTACACTGAGTGTGAACTCAGCAGTCCAAGCAGGTTTATTGCTAAAACTGAAGGTCTCTTCTGGGCTAAGAGGCTTTTTTGTGAGTAGTGGTCTTTTGAGGGGTGGGTCAGAGAAACAAGCTTGTAACTTGCTGACATGTTCTCTGTGACCTGCTGACATATCCTCTGGGGACCACTTGTGACCTGCTGATATGTCCTCTGAGCATTGCTCATGAGCTAGGTAAAACAAATCCTATGTTTTCCTAAGGTGCCAGGTGGGCTTATCCGAACTGGTAATGTCCCCATCTGGGCTGTATTATAAATAGCAACTGTTATCTTTAATGATGAGAATTTTTATGTGGTTAGAGATGAGCAGTGTTGCTATTTCAAATGAACTCTTGAAAATTTCAAATGAAGCCCTCCTATGTTGTGCTTCCATTTCTCTGAATGAATCCTGATCTCTCCCTTTCTCTCTTAGTGTTGTGAACTGAACCCTGGGGTACTCTTCCACCAAGCTGTATCGATGGCCATTTTCATTTTTTTAAATTTTGAGACAGGTTCTTTCAAAGTTACTCTGACTGGCCTGGAACTCATGGTGCTCCTGCCTCAGCCTCTCAAATGGACAGAATTACAGATGTGTGCCACCTGACCTAAAACCCGTTTCTTTCTATGAAGTTTTTATTTTGAAAAGTATCTAAGATACAGAGTAGTTGGAAGAATAAAAGATTGAACATCTGCATATCCTCCATCCATACTCAGACACTGGTTAGATGATGAACACATTTGTTAAAGCTCTTTCTGACCTTTTGTTTAAAAAACTGCCATCTATGTTTTTGTCTGCCTCTGTGGTAGCAGTTTTTACATTTTGTATTTTAATACTTTTTTTGGTATGCAATTTGAAGTAGCAAGCAAATTTGAGTGGAAAGTTCAGGTAGTTCCCAAGCACTCATGCCCTGCTCCAGCCTCCCCTGCTAACCAGCACCCTTGCCTAGTAGTCACTGAGGAGCCTGCATAGACACCACCAGAAGCCCCCGTTCACACTAGGGTTCACATTTGGTGCTGGCAATCTGCGGGTTGGGACAGTGTGTGACGACATGCCATGCTACAGCAGCACACAGTAGCCTCACTGTCCCGCAGCCCTCTGTGTACCTACTGTGCCTGCCTCCTTCCCTCCCAGAACCCCAGTAACTGTGATCATGTGCTATCTCTGTAGTTTGACCTTTTCAGGATTCTCAACACACAGAAACTGGAGTTGTTTTAAGCATTTAAATATGGGTACTGTCTGAACCTGTGTTTTGTTTTTTGAAACAGGACTCACTATGTTGGCCAGACTGGCCTTAGACTTGTGATCCTCCTGCCTCAGCTTCCCAAGGGCTGGGAATACAGGTTCATGCCACTATGCCAAGTTTGAAGAATTCCTTTTAGATAATACTGGGATCAGCCTTTCAGATTGGCTTCTTTCACTCAGTAAGATGTATTCAAGATTCTTACATGTCTTTTTACAGCACATAGCTCACTAAGTTTTAGTGCCAGATAATTCTGTGGTCTGGGTGTGCAGTTTCCATTCACCTATTGTTGTTTTCAAAGGCTGGCAGTGATGAGTTAGGCTGCTGCCCATACCGTGTGCGTGCACAGATGTGTTTTCCATTCACTGGGATAGATGTGAGGAGGTGATGGCGGGTTATATGAGAGAAGTGTGTGTAGTTTGATGTGAAGCTGCTCCATTCTGTGTCCCCACTGTCCATGAAGGAGCACAGCAGGTGGTGGAGTCAGACTCTGGTGGTGGCCACTTTCACTGTGTGAGTGGAATCTGTACCTGCACTTCCTCATGAATAAGACATAATATGCAGGTGTTTTCACAACTTATTTGCCATCTGCTTTTCTTCTTTGATGAGGTGTCTTTTTTAAGATCTTTGCCCCATTTTTAAAATGCTGCACAGCCAAGTGTGTTGATGCACACCTATAATCCCATCACTTGGAAGGCTGAGACAGGAGGATTGCCATAAATTTGACCCTGTCTCAAAAAGCAAAACAAAACAAAAACTGTACAGTAAAGGCTTGATTAGTGAGTATAATTTATTCTGGGATCATGATTGTAATCCAAAACACTTATATCAAAGTGAATTTCCATGTTAAGAAATAATGGAAACTCAGATGATCCATACCGTAACTCAAAAATATTCATGTAAAGTGATTATAGTACTGTAATATAATACAAAATAATAAAAGAAATACAAAATATGAGAAATAAGTTAACCTGTGCTGACCTCTGTAAACGTTTGTGGCTGGTGAGAGGGAGAGGAGTGAGGAGGGTGACTGGCAGGATGACCTTCACCGTCACTGATGGAATCACTGCTGTCTGTTGGTGCAATGGAATCATTTTCTTTTCCTTCTCTTTTTGTTCAGCTTTAAAAGGAGCCTATCCAGTGGCACTTGCTTTTGCCTCTTTTTGGAGATTTTATGTAAATATGACATTGCATTGTCATTAAACAGATGCATCGCTCACAGTGCTATATCTTTATTCAATTGGTGCTTTACTACAAAATTTCTCAGTTTTCCACATTTTACACATCTTCCTAATTTCATTTTAAGTGAGGGACTCCTTTGCCTTTTTTCTCCCCTTCCATAACCTCTTGCTGTTGGGAGATGATCGCCCACAGTCTGACAACAAGAGATGGAGATGGGGAGATCACTGGCTCAGTTGTGATGAGGTGATGTTCAGCATTACGAGCTACTCATATTGCAACACATCACTTGTTTATCAATTTAAAATTTATTAAAAATGTCTACTTGTCTTGCAGAACAAGTTACCTGCAATCCAAGGTTTTATTTTGTTTTCTTATTGTTGCATTTTAAGAAGTATTTGTATATTTTGTTTTGCAAGCCTTACTTGATGTGTCTCTACAGGTACCTTTTCATCATCTAATTATCTTGCAGGGATCTTTCCAACTTTAATGACATTCCCTTTATTAATTAGGTCTTTCATGGTTTGTGCCCTTGGTGTAATGTCTAAAAGTCACTACCCTACCCCAATTATCTAGGTATTTTCCTGTGTTACGGTCTACTAGTGAGTTTTGACTGTTTTTTTCTTACTTTATTAAGCCTATCTATAGTTTAACGTGTTGCAGAACTTTGGTATAGAGAAACAAGGAAACTGGGAAACTGTTCACTGTGACAGGTTCTATTGTTCCTCAGGAAGATAGATCTTTATCCCAAAGATAACTTCTTTGAGAATTAAAATTTAAAATTTATGACAAGTCCACCATAAAACTGCTGCCTACTTTTTTTTTTTTTTTTGTAGTGGGAATTGGATCCAGGGCTTACTACATCTCCAGTCCATTTTTATTTTTTTTATTTTCAGACAGGGTCTTACCGAATCATTAGGCTGGACTAGAATTTCTGACCCTCCAGCTTCAGCCTCACAAAGGCCTGAGATCCTAGCAAGGGCCCCTTCCCTATGATGTCTTCAGTAGGTAACCTTCCACTCACAGCCTCTCACCTAGCTGGGTGGTCATCAGTGCCCCCATCTTCACTGTAGTGGAGCCGAGCCTGGTTTCTCGATATAGAGGTGATCATAAAATTTCCTGTTTCAACAGGAAGGGTCAGAAAACTTGAATGTTAGGAAATATAATGAAAAACAAAATTTCCTACCAATCCAAGAAACTTTTTCCATAGTATTAGAAGAAAAAAATTGTTTTATTGCAGTGAATGTTTTACTAAGATGTGAAACTCCTTGCGGGCAGAGTTGAAAGATGAAAGAAAC